CTTGTCGAAGACCAACCCTCTCCTGTAACTTTTACCAGCAGAAAAAGACAAAAAAGAGAGAGAGAGAGAGAGAGAATTGGTCGCCGAACGTGATGAAATTTATGTGAAACCGGAGTGTCGAATTTAATCGGCAAAATTTCCTATCGGGATCCAATCGATAATAAAAAAAAATTTCTTAGCGAATGAAATTTCGCTCGTTTTAAATTTTTATATAAAAATTTAAGAATTCACCGTAATGGATCGTCCGAATTAATATTATAATTATCACACCGCGACTTAAACCAATGATATTGCGGTTTGAAACCGAATGTGCCAAACATATTTAGTCAATTCGTCACGAAAATACAGCATGACGCCCTACTATACGCGACACATGCAGTTATCATACATATAAATATCGAGTATGCGCCCGGATTGACGATAGCGGGTTTGGCGACTCAGATCAGAGAGAGCACGTCGGAGCATCGCCGCGTCGGTGCTCCCGATTTACATCGCGAAAAATATGCGGACTCTTCCGCTTTCCTCCGAAGTCGCGGGGAGTCATCGCGACGCGCGGGCGCTCGCGAGCGCCAAAAAAGGGTTCTCCATCCGGCCGTCCCTCTTAGCCGCGGCTAAGCCGATATGCATTCATTATAATAAGAAATGGCAGGCGCCGAGTGAAAAGTTCGAAGGCGCACCCCGGCTTATCAACTTGCTCTGAATTTTATATTATTTAAGGGGGAGTACTTACCTCCCCGGCCCGGCTATGCCCCGGCATCCGCACCAGCATCCTGCTCCACCTCCCTCCTCGTCCTCCGACGCTGCTCCAGTTGCGGCACGGGTAGACGGATAAAGGCTACCTCTTAACTTTTCCGACACGGTACGCGAAAGGCGAAGATGCGCGGAAAGTTCGCCAGAGCACTCGTTTTATCACTCCCGAACGCGGACGCGAACCCGAACGCGAACCCGAACGCGGACGCGAACGCGGACGCGGGTCGGTGTTTTTCGCGATCGCGTAATCACTTAACATTTCGCCGCGCGATTAATTCGAAAAACGCTTCACTAACAATAAACTGTTACGTTTTAATGCGACGCGAGTAGCGCGAGTCGTCTCGCGTATCGTCCACACTGGCGCCACCTGCAAGCACACGTATGAACGAATTAATGAGATTTAAGGTCGATAACGATACCGATCGATTTCTGAAAGATAAAATTGTAAAGATCTTTGCAAATTTAAATATTGAGTTTGTGTGTGTGTATGTGTGTATAGTATAGAAGATTTGTCTGTAGAAAAATTATATCTAATACATAAAATTTTGATTCGTGCAGTGTATTATATCGATTATTTATTGATCCTGAATCTCTTTTTAAACTTTATTATATTAATTACTTTTAAACTCTCTTTCTCACAAATCAGTAATGCTGCAAATAAAATATAAATTATCACAATTTATACTAGCAGCGATATCAAAAACCAAGTAGGATACCAAAAATAAAAGCAATGCAAACTGCGGAGTGAAAATAATACAATTTGCAAAATTAGATTGAATTAGAAATTGAAGATAAGTATTGCGCTATCATATAATAACGTGTTATCGTATTAATGATGAAAAATATGTGAGAAAGAGAAAGAGATAAAGAGAGAGAGACAGAGAGAATATAAAAATGTAGCTGCATCTATGTATATGTATGTGTTTGCGTCGACGATATATTTGCAGCACTAATCATAGTAAATTACGATCCTCAATGCGTGTCGCAAGGCGGCAATACAATTTGAATTAAAAAATCGTAACTCTCTTCTTTTTTTCGTTCGCTTCGCGCGTGGCGGTACTCAAAGTGGTACTCGCGCGTACGCGCCGCGGCCGCCGCGCCGTCGTAAGTACATACACACCGTAAACGACGTATAAAAACGTTTGTAGGACATAGGGGTGAAACGTAGGTAATGAGGCATGCGAGTCCGTGTCGCGCGACACGCGGGACGCTTATCGTTCGCTGCGGTACAAATGACGTAAGTCGCGTCGCGTCGCGACAGGTCGCGTTAGGAAGAAGGACGCGTATATGTATGTATGTACGTACAGCAGCTCGTTCGCGGCAATTCGTGATTTAACGAGCGACACATCCGATTTATGTCTAAAAGCCCCTAACGCGGTTTTCACAGTTGACCTTCTCTCGCACGTCGCATAATGTTCTGCAGTCGAATTATTCCGCATTCGCCAGATTCGAAAGAATAGACCTGCGCGCTCGTTTAACATGAAATGTATATATTTTAAATCTTGACTGTATGACTGCACGAAATTAATATTTATCAATGATATTTTTTTCAAATCTCAGTTAATTTAGATTTATCATGTAAAATATATATTGCCTCTATCTAAAGAATCTTTGTCTTTTTCATTTAAAACTGCAGATACATTTCTACTTGCAGATACATGTTTCTTAACTCAACAAGTTTTTGCAGTCCTACTGCTAATTTTACGCACAACGATATAATGTCCGATAGTTTGTTATCGAAGAGAAAAGCACATATTACTAATACAAAAGATAGATACCTCAAATAGAAAATTATATGCAAATATATGCAGCAAACTTCAGGGATAATATTAAATAATACTATATTTGTCTCTCTTTTTTTCCCTGTCTCTTCTTTTTCACTCTTTCATCGTAAATAATAAGTCTCTCCATATATATAGCTCCAAATAGCTGCAGCACGTCTGTAATTGTAATTAAATATATAATATAAAATAACACGTATGCTAATTAATCAATAAATGGAATTAATAGCAGCATGACATATTTTATTCTTGAAATCAGTAATGCTAGGAGAATTTTAAAAAAAAAGGTAGCTACCGCAACGAACGAATCGATAATCATGGAGTAGCGTATCCTACTGTATTGTACAAAATTACACCGTCGACATTATACGTCCGAACCACGCCGCGGGCGCGGTTCCGCTGAATTTAGTTTTTGCAATTCCGCGTGAACGAACGCAACAGGCGGCACTTTCCCACACATCCGCGGTTTAAGCACCGCTGATTCGGAAGGCCTGAGGAAAGCCTCGTCAGCCTCGTCGCCGAGGGACGCCATGTTTTGCCGCGCGACCCGCGCGTTTGTCCGGCCTCTGAGACGAACCGCCATCTAGGAGCTACCGCGGGAAGCTTATCCTCAATTAAATGAAGTGAGTTACCATGAGTTATCCGAACGGTAAATCGAAGTTTAGCGTTTTGCTTTCTACATCGATGCTGTATCAGTACACTAGCATGCCAATTGCTGATAAGAAAAGCATCTACGTGTTTTAAAATGCTGCATTTTTTTCCACAATATAAATAGAAATGTAAAAAATGTTTGAAAAAGACCATTTTTTGCCTAAATTTCCAACCTAAATCATTGGAAACTGTTTACAGAATCCTCTAGAAATAGTAAATAAATACAAAATTTTTTACCGGGTTGTATACTGAATTGTAAAATTGCATTTTTTTTTGTATCATCCGCATAGAAATCATGTAAATCATATTCATATTCAATTATAAAAAAAAGCAATTGCAATGCAAGAACAGTTGCAAACAATCTAAGAAATGACTGGTTTATAGACGAATTTTGATATGCTATGCATGATACAAATATACATATGTATATATAAAATATATTTAATTGTATCATGTATCTACATATACATAGATATCGAATTGATGTCATATAAACTAACGATTTCTCCTTAAGAATGCAATTTGTACAGTGCATCTTCAAAGTCAGATCTCAAATTTTTCTCTGAAATCTCATTTCTTGCTTGTTTTTTTTTTCTCGAGGCTATTGTCACGAATTTATTTGGCATCATGATTCAATAGTTTTGTAAATGCCTTTTGAGCACAAAACATGTTTGTTTAGGATATTGAAATATATATATTAGACCAAACAATGGTCTCTTGTTGAAAGGCAGGTATTAGCAAAAAATAAGAAAGGTACCACTGAAATTGCCTTTATTGTTAGAGAAGCCGTCAAACAGAAACTTTTTGAAAATTTCTGACGAAACTATAATTGCCTTTTGTGATCATTTTGTAATCAGGGTTGAGAACTTTGATCTTGAAAACCGTTATCTTAAAGAAAATCATAAATCGGCAAAAAAATCTTTATGTCTGAGCCTGACAATGAGTTCGAAGTAACCGTATCAGATTTGTACACTTTCTCGAAACATTTTAAGAATTCAGATATTTATTTTGCACCTTATGTTCGACCGATACTTGCGAATTTCCATCCTATTTTCTATTATATATGATTTATTAAGAAAATTTTCAGGATAAAGGAAAAGGGCACCCCTCCGTATACGTCCTCACCCGCATGCCCTTGTCTTCCGATATAAACCGTACCCGTAATGTAATGAAATTCGCACGTTCCATCAACCGTTATATAAAAAAAATACTTTTCATCGCCTCAATATATATATGGTCAAACGGACAGAGCATTGGGTCAGTCGATGGCCGATGCATAATGCATGGCGCCATGAGATTAGACGCGGGGATCGCGGGGATCGCGAGAGGCTACATATGATGGAGCTGCTTTATATCTGAGAGTTTGTTGAATGCATATATGTACCCTCACCCTTCTCTCTCGCCTTTCTCCCCCCCCCCCTCCACTTACGCCCTATAGACCCTTTTGCCGCCGTAAAGACAGAATCCGTTCTTTTGCAGCCAAAATGATTGTACGAGTGATATCATCGTGCTCCGAGTTTCCCCCGAACCGACTCGACAAACGTGAATTTACCTTCGTATTAGAAAAACTGTTGAAAATTTTTTGCTGGCGTCAGGATTATCGGCAGGAGTAGGACGAAGCGACAGGGAATCGTCTACAAGGAAGGTGTACTTTTTGCATTAAAGCTGAGTGCCGATCAGCTTCTCCACTCACGGGTCACGTCGGTCACGGGTGACGCAGGACTACAAAGGGGAGTATGAGCAGAGCTTGCAGATCCCCCCCCCCCCATCCAAGTTTCGCAGTTCCCTAGCGCAGCAGTGAGTAGTGGCCGCAGTGGGTACTGTAGCAGTTGTGCCATCATAACCGACCGATCGCTGCGAGACGTTAATGCTCGTTGGTTACTTGATTTTCACACTGCATGTGACCGCCGGGGCATGAACACGCGCGTCTCGTAATCGGCCCGAAACGTTTTTTTTTATTTTATTTTAATTGCCCGCGACGAAGTGCGATCGACAGCACGTCGCTCGTTATTTTCGTACAGCCGCCGTGTAACACGCGACCACGCGAAATCGTGCCACGCCGCCATAGCTAGCACGGGAGTGAAAATAACGTGTGTGGCGTTCGACGAACCTGCAAATCGTCGCCGAACACCCCGATCGTCGCATCACCGGAGCTCCAGGCCCCGCCGCCGCGACCCCGTGCTATTTTTAATGTTTTGTACCAACTGCGGAAACGAGGATGGATACTCGAAACGAGGTGAGACACCGGCGAGCCAGTTGCCGTGGACGCGACAAAGCCGCGAGAGTGCACGCTTTTCGCGCGGCCGAGTGTGCCGCGTTGAGGTTAGGTCGCCGCGTCGCCCGGGCCGTGTTCGGCGTGCGTTTCCCCCTAATGTCTCGCCGTTTTAACGCATCCCCCGTGTCGTTTCGCGAGGCGATCGACAGGCGAATTCATCTCGCGCCCGGGATCCACAACTGTATCCCGACGAATCTCGTTTCGGACGCTCCCACGTGCGCCACCGAACTACGTCTTTGTGGAACTCGACTTCGGGGAGTACGGGAATGTTCGATTTAGAAACACGCGAGTTCCCAATTCAACACTCGTTCCGACAGCTGGCCGCTCGCAACTGCACGATGTTAGATCGATGAAAAATCATTTTATTTAATTGATACTCGATTTGCGACTTGCTTCTGAAATGCTACATAAGATGGCTGCATTTGGAGCAATTTGCTGGTTCCACGAGTTCCACCTTTTCGTTGTACTCGTGCCTCACGCCGACACGCGCTACGTTCGTCGAGCGTGCGTTTAGCAAGCTGGAAAAAATAATTTTTCCAGCCAGTCTATTCGAAGGGGTGTCTAGCAAGAAATTATATTTCCAAATTATTTGTCTTATGCAACCAGTGTATCTTCTTGAATAAACTTTTTCATCGGTTATTATTTATTGAAGTGTTCTACGTCGACTAAAAAAAAATTATACTTTTCTCAATATTCATTGTTCATCGGGAGAAATATCAATACAAACGGTCGCAAAGAGGGAATGAGACAAGAGGTATATAAAAAGTGGAAACAGGGAGCAAAGAGCATACTAACAATGGGCCTTTAGGTCTAAAGGACATAAGAAAATTTCGAAATTTCTTCGGGAAGGTCAATAATGAATAGTAGAGGAGATGAGGTGACCTGAGACACAAAGAATATATTTTTGAAGAAAATATCTTCTGAGATTATTTTAAAAGATGATTAATGACATCGGTGAATTGATACTTTGCTCATTTCGGAAATTTTAGATTTGAATTTTGATTAAAGTGATATTTCTTGATAAAATCTTCATGATAAATAAATTTCTTACAGGTCTAAGTATTTTGTGTATTTTTAATGCTCATTGATGTCTATAATCGAATTGTACATCAATTTAATAAGTGAAATTACATTTCTAATTTTGAAATATAATCTCAAGAACGAATAATAATCGGCACATAGCTCTAAGTGTAACAGCGAGATATATAAAATTTAAAAATGTTATTAGACATAAGGATCCTGCTCAATAACTGAAAAAATTAATTTTTTTTTTATTCTATGTTAAACTCGCAATAGATTTATTTTGTGAGGAATTGATACTTTGCTCGTTTTGGAAAGTTTAGATTTGAATCCTGGCTAAGGCGATATTTCTTGATAAAATCTTTATGATAAATAAATTTCTTGTAGGTCTAACTAGTAATAGTAGCAGTGGTTTATTGTTCCCCTTGGGGTTACAAATCTCAACATATAATGATTGTCCATTTACAATGTACATTATATTATATCTTATTTGTTGGTCTAAGTATTTTAATGTTCTATTTTAATATTGATGTCTATAATCAAATTGTACATCAATTTAATTATGTAAAATTACATTTCCATTTTTGAAACATAAAACTAAATTTCAAGAACAAATAATAATCGGCTCTTAAGTATAACAGCGAAATGTATAAAATTTAAAAATATTAGACACAAAATCCTGCTTAATAACTGAAAAAGTCAATATTTTTTTTATTCTATGTTAAAGTCGCAATGTATTTATTTTTATTTTAACGCTTATATTTTATTTTTTGTTAGTTTGCATAACATATTTTTAGTATTATAACAAAAGAAAAACTATTGAATGATAAAAGTTTAATTTATACAGTTGTCGAAACAAAAACATACAATAAAATTTCAAAGTTAGTTTTTTTTAATAATACTTGAGAAGAATTGAGATCTTTAAACGCAAGAAAAGAAAGATGAAAAGTCATTTTTCATAAATTACTCATAATTACTATGAATATAAAATTTATTTTTTCATGATAGTTTTCTTACTTTTAGAGAAAAAAATGCGATAATTGCAAAAATGTTTAATAAGAAATATAGACTAGTAGATAAAAGATTTTTTTACCCCAATTTTGTAATTTTGTCGTGAAACTTTAGATGTGGTAAACAGCATTTTCTTTAATAAATTCTTTACTGATTAAACCTCTGAAACAAAACAAAAAATTTTATTGACAAAAGTTGCAAAAAATTGGTTTCTTTGGGAATTTTTATTTTTTTATATTCTTTTAAGAGAAAAATTGTTCTCACGATATTTAAATTCAATTTGTACAGAATTTGATTATGAATGATTTTTAAGGAAAGTAATTTTAAGACAAACGTGTTTAAAGTTTCAGTAGATTTTCAATGTAATAAAATATACTTTATCAAAGTCAAAATTATTCTGGATTATAAAATATAGTGTCGAGAAGTTTTTCGATGATAGACAATTCTTTATTATTAAAAAATTCAAAATAGCTAAATATCACTGTTTTGACAACTGAATTGCAAATAACAATTTGAAAAAAATTTTGCGTGATGGTAACTTATTGCGAGTGTTGTCGCAAACATTGTAGAAATATTGCATTGTTTAATAACATTATGTAGTATACTGTAATTTCTAATAACGTTTATCATCGGTATCTAATATATATTTGTATCTTTTCCTTTTTAGATGAATCTTCAATTTTTAGACTTACATGATTTAACAGACAATGATAAAAGACAGATTTTCACGATTCTGAAATCTGACGCTCTGAAACTACCGTGGGACATAAAGGAGAATAATAACAACAATGTTAATTCTGTCGCAGCGACAGAAATACCGACAGAATTTCAGCCGCACTGGTATAATGGTGAATATATTTTTTACTCCTATATATTTTATTAACTGAATTTTATTCTGCATTTTGATCCTTTTAAATATATTGTCTTGCATATATTTAAAGTATAAATTAAATATAATGTTATCCAGTCGATATTTTAAATAATATAATACATGAGTAAAAGTTCCATATATTCGTACATTTTGGACAAACAGTTTTCTTAAATGTTGGAATTGCCTTATCTTACTTGTAGCTATGCCACCGGCGCCCGCTTATCCGCAACAGATGATGACGCAAATGTGTAATGACTGGCAAGCACCGATGTACAATGTTTCCGCAAACGGCCACATGCCGCCGTTTATATCTGGAATGGCATATGCCCATCCCGGATACAATCTTAACGCTGAGATCCAAGAGTTAAATTACACTAGAGAAAACGGACGTCGAAACAATAGTCGAGGCAGAGGTGTTAGACGTGATAATTATACTCGAACGCATAATCCAACCACTAACGAAGTACAGCCGGGATACATGGGTGATCAGGCGCAATATCACCCGCAGATACCGATCATGTACATTTATTCCGATCATTCCGTCTCTACGCAACAGCATCAGGTGGCTCCCGGACAGATCTATTACACACAGGCAATGTATTCGTCGATTCTTCATCCAAATGCGCAGACAGTTTCATCCCCAACTTATCCCCAGCCGAATCATCAAGCACCGCAGATGAACAGATCCGTGCGACAGTCGCAATCTGTGCCATCCCAACAACCAAATCAAGAACCCGCGAAGCAGCAGCCGGTCGTTAAATCACACGACAAACATATACAGAGCACTTCCGATAAGTCAGCGCATCATCAAGTTAACGAGAACAGTTCCTTGCAAAGTAACGTCGTTAGTACCGTTGTTGTAAGTAACCTCGCACCGGAGTCCTCTGTGAAAAACGTAGACGAAAACACTGCCGATAGAAAAACTGTGACTAGCGATGAAAAGATCGATGCGAAGCTCCAGCAGAATATTGCATGTTGGACCGCAAGTGAGAATTGTAATGGCACGGAAAAAATTGATGTGCCGTGTGTAAATACTAACATTGACGTCAAGGTGAACCAAGTTAATGAGACCGACAAGAAGTTGAAGAATGAAACTGTAGTAGTACCCAGTGTCACAACGAATGCCGTAAAAACTCCGCCTAAACCTATCGTCGTCAGGACAGACAAAACTGAAGCGCAGATTGAGGAAAATGTTGCGCTAAAAGATTCCCAAGATAAGACTATTGTTAAGACACCAAACGACTCCTCAGCCATGCCAAATGACTCTTCAACCACACCAAATACTCCGTCATCGTCCACATCTGAGACACCACCTGCGACTACTACCGTCAAGTTTTCCTATGCTAGTATCGTAAGGAAGGACAATACGTCAGAGACAACGTCACATGCGTCGTACACTCCGCCGTGCAAGCCCATTGAACATGTAGTTTATCAGAATGAATCACCGAAAACGCCGGTTCAAAAAACCGAATCGACTAGTCCCGTTCGTACTCCAGAGAATCAAAATGATTCACCTAGCGCGCCAACTTTACAAAATGGCATAATGAATTGTTACGATGATCCTAACACGTATAGGATAGGTGGTAAGTAAAGAGCTAATCTTTTAGAATAGAGTACTGATTTAAATATATATATATAAATTTCTTAAATATTATATTTTTGTCTAGAATTTTTGTCGACTTATCAAATGGACAAGCAAACAGTAAGCTTATTGCCGAGGGGATTAACAAATCGCAGCAATTATTGTTATATCAATAGTATCTTACAAGCTTTACTCGCTTGCCCGCCATTTTACAATCTTCTCACGGCTCTGCCACATAAAAACCGAAGTAGAAATTCTCCTACGCCCTTGATTGATAACATGTAAGTAATTACAGTAATACTGAAATACATTTTTTTTTTTTAACTCATAAAGGTTACATTAATATTCAAAATTGTTTCATCTTGCTCAAAAGGGTCAAGTTTGTTCGTGAGTTTACACCCTTGACGGAAGCCGCCCGTATGCCCAGGAAAGATCGAGTTCATAAACGAGGAGAAGATACTGTCATGGACATATATAGCGGCGTTGCGTTCGAACCATCATATGTATATACAATGTTAAAGCATACCTCGGCTGCTGGTGCCTTTTCTGTGGAAGGACGGCAGGAAGATGCGGAAGAATTCTTGTCATGTCTTTTAAATGGAATCAATGACGAAATGTTGGAAGTATGGATATATATATATCTTCTATTTATTACAAAAAATATAAACTCAGTATTTAAATTTAATACATAACTTATACGCAATATTTAATATTAAATAATCGTTACTTTTTTTATCTAAATTATATAATTTATAATATAAATTTATTAATAAATATAGAACAAATCAACTTAATTTAAGTAATGTTCTTAAAATTCATATAATATATAATATAAAATTACATAAAATCTTTTTTATTTGGTTATATTAAAACAAACATAAATTAAAGTTATATAAAGCTAATTATATAAAAATATAACTAAATTAAATTCACATCCTTTTATTCGAAAATCATAATATAAATAATTTTTAGTTCAATTTTTAGTTCAATTTTATCAGTTTTATCTTTTACAGTTGATAAAATTGGTCAACAACGATCAAAGTGCAATCGGGAACGCAAAAAATATCAGCACCGATCACGATGAAGAAGAGTGGCAGGTAAAATATTTAATAAAAAAAATTACATTTAAAAAGTTATTACACGAAACACTTATTTATTGCAATACATAAAAATTGACACGAAAACAACATTAATTTCTCCATTCAATGAAATTGCATTAGAATGTCATTTCTTTATATTCTTTTGCATTATTTATATCACATTATTTGTTTCTACTTTAATAATAGGTAATGGGACCAAAAAATAAAGGTGCTGTCACACGATGTACAGAATTCGGAAGAACACCACTATCTGATATCTTCCGAGGACAATTACGGTCCAGGATATCAAGAGCAGGAGAACAGCCAACGGACAATGTACAACCGTTTTTCACATTGCAACTGGATGTTCAAGTTAGTACACTAACAATAAGACTTTTCAACGAATTGATTTGTAATATGAAATTTTCACAACATTTAATACAATATAATTTGTTACAGAAAGCCGAATCCGTAAGACACGCTCTTGAGATTCTCGTTGGTAAAGATCAGGTAGAAGGACTGACCTGCAGCAAGACGAGACAACAGATAGAGGCTTGGAAACAAGTCACTTTGGAGGAACTGCCCGTCATTCTCATATTACATCTGAAATGGTTCGTGTACAAGTTCGATAAGTATTCCAACGGTTGCTCCAAGATATTGAAAACCATGGAATTCCCGATCGACTTGAAACTTGATGGCAGTAAGTATATATACTGAATATGAGCTTTTCAATCTACTTCACTCCATTCTATTCTAACTTCTATTGTATAATCTATCTTAAAGAATTAAGTGTAACACGTGGAAATTTTTATTCTTTTGCAGAATTTTTATCACCGAACACCGCGAAGAAGCTGGGTCCCAAACAGAAACAGTACAAATTATTCGCGGTGACGTACCACGACGGAAAGGAAGCCACCAAGGGGCACTACTTCACCGACGCCTTCCACGTGGGATATGGATCCTGGGTCAGGTACGATGACAGCACGGTAAAGAGTGTCCCCGAAAATAACGTACTGAGGCCCACATCACCTAGAGTACCTTACTTACTCTATTACCGAAGGTGTGACACGATTGGTAACAACCAATCAAATAATGCGAAAGCACATTAAAAAATTTTTTTAGAAAAAAAAACTACATAGAAAAAATTATGTTCCATTTGAGATGGAACCAAAAAAAAAAAAGATTCTTTTTACAATTTCAAAGTTATTGTTGATATTTATAAATAAATAGAAATATAAATAAAGAGAGCTTTTATATTATCTACAATAGAGTGGAAAGTAGAAATTATTAAACCCGCCGTACTTCCAAGAGATATTTCTATTAAGATTGTTATTACACGTTGTATACATAGTTTCCCCCCTCAAAAATCATGAAATGTAGGTAATGTTAAGGCTCGTCAAGTGTTCCAATCTGGGTTCACATTTTCTAGTGAATCTAAAAAAAAACGTTATATATATTAAATGCTTTATACGTTGCAGTTGTGAAATATTATAAGAGCGTCTTATGTGCGTATGCGTGTGAGTGTGTGTACATATAATTTTTTTTTTTTAGTAAGATTATTGTAAATGTTATACTGGTTTTCCAATTTCTTTAAGAAAAACAAGAGCAAAGGTGTGAAAAAGATTTTGAAGTTCGTGACAATGTGTGTATAAAGGTATAGAGACAGATTATTATATGTAGGTTATTTTTTTTATGATCCTCCTGTACAGTGGAAATCAATTCCAACTTGCCAGTTATTCTTCAATGTCGTGCAATTTTTATGTTTATAAATATACATGTATGTATGTTTAATATAAAGCTACATACATATATTTTCATATTTAAAAAAAACATGTATGTTTTTAAATATATATACACATATATTATTTAAATTCAATAAATCTTGTAGAACAAATATACATATGCACTCATTAAAAATTCGACAAAATCTTCCCATGGATTTCTTCTCATCAGACATATTTAAATTGTTTTAATAATTGAGAAGAACTGGCAAGATATAAAGAACTGAAAGACTTATCAGGAAGATTGTATATACAATTATTGAACATTTTGTATTTAATCTTTCCTAGATATACAATACTATCACATATTAATTCTTAAAACTGAAGTGTTCAACGAGGTTTGTTTAAATTGTGTTATATGGTACTTCGTTACCTTACAGTCTGATTAACTGTTTGCCCCCATATGCAAATAGATTGTCATTTGTTTGCGGCACAAGTTTTTTTATTGTTAAATAACATTTCGAAAAATCAGAATTATACAAGTTTTAGTTTTCTTAATCTCGTACAATATATATATATATATACACATCCATTATATCTAGCATGTACGTTTGTATAATATAGATAAGACTTAAGAAATATTCTAAGTTTTGAATTCTAATTATAACTTACGCATTATACCTCTCATTTATTTCCGGTTTTTGTAAATAAATATTTGAAGTTTATAACATAAAGTAAAACTGTACATATGTTAAAATTTAATTATGATTAAGAAATATATATACATATATACATATATATATTTCAAATATGTGTATTGAGTTTTATTCCAGTTTTCCTTCGAGTATTTTTTTGAAAACTAACAATTATGGTTTTACTAACATATTGTTATACACTGTTAGAAAAAATCTAAAATGTCGAATATCGACACACATCGCTCGTAGATTATTCATACATCCTTAACGGATAGACAATATTATCTTGTAATAATCTTAGATTCCTTTATCTGTACAACTATCATTTTATAGATGATTCATTAAATACTAAAAATTAATTTTGGCTACATAATTGATCAATGTTGATCTTAATCTACTTAATATATAGCAGAATTTAGTGCTACCTTCCCGTTAAAGCTTTATAAAATTATTATTGTAAGGTAAAAATAATTCTACAGATCATTAATATAAACTAAACTTACTAATATCAGTGTAATCGTCAATAGAAGGTAATCAACAAATATTTTTATTACGGGACGATGCTAAAAATGTGGTAGACAAACTTTGCCTGCAAAGAGCTCGGAGATCACTGTGATCCATAGAGCTAGGACAAACAAGATATAAGCGATCCCAACTTGATGCGAATTAGGCAATTGATACGGTTGCCCACCAATCTCGTCAATGTGGAATCCCATTGGAAATATAACTGCCGCGTGACAGAACAGCACCACTGCAATTTAATTACGTCAATATCAGTATACATCTTATACATCGTAATGCCTAACGCATAAATTTTGCACACTAATAATTTGTCGCTCAAAATTTTCAAATACAACATCAACTATTATGGCATTTTATAATATAGTTATGTTATGTCTTTGTATTATATCCGGTCGAATAATATGTACAAACGGACACGACGTGATTCCTTATGAAAAAAATAAGAAAGATATAGAATTTTTTATTTTCGACCTAGTTTTCAAGATAAAGAAAATCGAGTTTGAAAATCTGCTTCATACACAGCTGCTGGTCACAGCTAAGGTACGGATCGTCGAGCGATGCATAACGCATATATTGTGTTTACAAATAACACTGTACTATGCCGAACAATCAGTTTTCGTTCGAATATCAGTGCCCGCTTGTATATATATTATTCGACCGGACCGCCTGTGTAGTATAAGTGCTACAATTATTTCGTACATGTATTGCTCGTGCATTTCATTTCGCTAAATACATGTCCTTCTGATACGTACTGGCGCCGAATCCTACCCAGCGTGCGAAGGGAATGACGGTGCGGTCCCAGTGCGAGATCACCAGTAGTATTATGGTTGCCGTAATCAGAATGCAACCAATAAATATGCAGACCAGTGCCATCATCCATTCCGACTCCAGCTCCGATTTGAAACAGACCTGCGGTCTGTTGTACAAGGTCATGCACGACCACATGAGACCCAGTCTTGTGTCGCCTGTCAGAGAGAGAGCAGGGAAGAGAAAGAAACGCAGAATTAAAAATCACCGTTTCAGCTTTTCGCGCGGCTTCAAATTGATTCAGACAGACTTTAATCTTCATCTCGCCGGCGTTAAAGGAATGACACGCGAGGCCCAGGCGAGGGAAGTAAGAGGGGAAAAAAAAGGGGAATTGCAATTACCGCCAACGTCGGTAATGATCCAGTCCGGCATGGCGATGCTGATTATGGCGGAGATATCCGCGAGCAGGAACAATATCCCCGAGATGATAGTCAACTTGTCCATTTTTTTTGCCGCGTTCAGGACACTCGACGACGGTTGAGATTGAGATGACGGTGAGATCGGAGAGTCGGCACGGAGTCGTCGTTCGGAGCACAGCTACCTGCTGCCACCATATTTACGCGTCGTGACACCTCGCTGTCAATTCGTCCATTCAACGCGACTGTCCTTCGGTGATCCCGGAATTGTTCGAGGATGCCCTAGTGCCATCCTTTGCTCGATCGTTGCTGACAGTCGGAAACACGCACGAAGAGTAAACAAGTCAACAATCGGAGATATCCACAGCGCGCTCGCTAATCGAGGGACGTTTGCGCAGTGCGCTCGCGGGGACAGGGCTTGGATGATGCTCGCAGTTCGACCGAACGGAGTTCGAGAGTTCGATTCCTCGTCTCGTTTGAACATCGATTGTGTTTTCGAATGTAATTACTTGTATATTCTACGTCCACGATATTCTACATTTGATTCATTGCGATTTTGTTCTATTTTATTTATATGAATATAAAATTTTATTAAACGTATCTTAAATTAACAAATTTAAAACGTAATAAAATAACTCAGAAAGGATGGAGATTTATGCATTAAGAGGTATGTAGCTTGCACAGGAAAAACGCAGTATCGAGAAATCAATTGCGTAATTGTCAGATCTATTGCGGAATGATGAACGAAAGTTTTGAAGCACGATTATAAATTCAATTTATCAGTTATTTAAATGTAATTTAAATTGCACTTGTAGGAAAGGAAAAATATTTTATATTTGTGATCAGCCGACAAGGATAATGAATTAATAGATTATTTTGGAAGTTTTCACAAGATAGAGATATATATATATGTAATTAATTGTAAAAAATTCTTACTATTTACAAATTAGATATAATACAGAAAGATCTCACATGGAAACAAGTGAATACAGACGTAAATATCTAACAGGGTGGTCACTATCACAGTTAAAACGTGCTAGAGTATAAAGAATAATTCCGGCGTTTGAACTTTTTGCAGTTTGGTTCGGTTTGGATACAACCGGTTTGTTGTTCGTTACCTGCAACATATAAATACACGCGATCTAGTCATTAAGATCTAATCATCCCAAGACTTTTCATTAAGAAAAGTTCTCCGTTCCACTCATCGTTTAGTCAACAAAATTACTCGCTATATTTCCGTAATGACGTTACTTACTGTCGTCCATCGAAGTGGAATCTGCGAACGTGGTCGTGCTATTGGCAGTCCCGTCCAAGGTGCTCTTACTCGTGTCCCCGTTGTCCGAGTCGTCGCCATCGTTCTTAGGGGACAAATTCGTCGGCGAGCTGTCGACGAAGTACTTGTTCGACAACTCCCCCGAATTCTCCTCAAAGGTGGAGCTGAACACGCTCTCCTCCTCGAACGAGATCTCCATGGATTCCGACGTGTACTCGCCGGACGTCTCCATCGACACTTCGCTCGACCTACTGCTGTCCCTCGCAGTGGTGCTCGCGATGATCTGCAGCAGGGCGGACGGGTCGTCGATACCCAGCGTCCGACAGAATTGGGTGGTCTGATCGTTTATCAGCAGTCGCGGTCGCTCGATCGGCGCGCTCGTGTCGCACGGGTCGTACGGTTTGACGGTGCGGATGAAGTTGAGAGGAATCCGCAGGACGGAGCCGAACTTCTCGAGCACGGTCTGCTTCTCCTCCGCCGTGGGCTTGTACGTCCACCTGCCGGCGCCGTACTGACCGGGCATGTAGTGGATGCTGCTCTTGACGCTCAACAGATGGTTCGTCAAGTAGAGGATCGTTAACCATTCCAGATCGTAGTTCAATTGTATCGGGCCGTCCTCCTGCGAGCGCACCTCCAGCACCTGAAGGAACCTCCGTTTCGGCAGACATTTGTCCAGCGCCAAAAACTTGGTCACTCGCGCGCCACCCTTCTCGGGAACGAGCGCCGCGAACTTGCAGTGCAAATGCGCGGAGAACCAGTAGGACGGATAAAGACGTTCCAGCAGCTCCATACACGGCGGGCTACCGAGCGCATTACTGTCTATGTCATCCCTAAAACACAAAATTGTAATGTAACGATTTAATATTGAATCTTAACGCGCTATTGAGATATAATATGTCTATCTTTCAATAGAATTTTGCATTAATGTCTAATCTCGCTGGCAACGTACTTAAAAAATGGTTTTCGTCTCAATAATGTGTCTTCATCCCCATATTTTGTTACTCCTGCCGGCCAGTCGTGTGACAAAAAAATATCAATTTTGCCAGAAAGCTAAAAATAAGAAAAAATATGAATTTTTCTAATCATTTGAAACTATTGGCTGTTTTAAAATAAAATTGTAAGAAATTTCCAAAATTGTACAATTAGCTGCATAGGTATGGAAAATATTTAATTTCACTAATCTACGCCTAGCCAATACCTACCTGCTTTAATCTGAACACTTCTAGATTCCTGATATGATAGACACTTCGTATAGTATTGTCAGTATAAGGAGGCTTTTCATAATGTCCCTGCATCCAATGATGACTCTTGTATATGCCCGAAAGACCTGCAATTCTGATTCCAGCCACCTGCACTACACCTGCGTATCCAAGATAATAGATGTTAGGCGCGACCCAGCCTCCGTACGGCAGTTCCTGCAGATAATTCGACGCTTCATGATTGCCTCCGATGAAGATAGTTAATACAGGAGCTTCTTTTTCACCAGAATAATATCTACAACATCCAAGCATTAAAAATGTTACTCTCTTACTAAATAACATTAAACATATATAGTCTATCCAAATAGCCAAATCACAAATTTAACAGAGAAATTCTGCAAAGCAATAACTGCCTGCTATAAACTTTATCAACAAAAATCCAATAGAATTTACTGGACTTTAAAGCATAATAACAGAATTGCGGCAAAATCTGCTACTTTGTAACCATTCAAACATTTAATATTTTTCACTTAAACGATTGCGTAATGAATTGTTTGATTTCTATTGACAGATTGCTTATTTCGACAAACTCTGCTGGTAAATTGCTAATATATGCAGCCAATGATTTGTTTATTAAGTTAAGACTATGTATTTGCTATGAGTATGACATAAGAATGCAGCATAAGCTGCATTCAACATTTTTAACAACTTTTCTTGTTCAGTACACACACACTCACTTGTAAAATGTACACATGTCCTTGTACTTGTCCGACACTGCCATACATTTTAGATCACTTAAATTTCTGGTAGCCTGAAAATCGCCGCAGCAAATAAGCAGATCTATCTTCCTACCATCAATCTTTTCGATCTCCTGTATCGTCTCGTAAATAATGTCCAGTTCGCCGTGAGCGCAACCCTCTACAGCGATCCTCATTTTCAAAATTATAAGATCAATATCTACGATTATATCAATAATTTATATACGTTTTCCTACGAACGTACGGCTGGGCAGAATCATCTGTAACGCCTGTAAACAATCTCGTTACACATATATCGGCACATAATATTTAACCTCTCACATAGAATACAACCGCGGAAAACTCCGCGACCCGATGCAATAGAAAATACATAGATTGGAAACAATACCGGCAGTCGGCGCTATTGCATCTCGCGATATCGTTAATATTTCCGGAAGAGCAGAAGGATGATTGGCTGCAGCACCAATATCGATATTCATAATTAAGATTAACGTGATTGTTAAAAAAACGATAATAATATATATTAATTTTATGATTCACTATTAGATTAATATTTTTTAAACATGTGCATATGTATTTATAACTTGCTATGTATTTATAACAGTTAATTTTATTTAAAAAATTGCATTTTTATTTAACATGATCCGTATTTGATTATCCATAACAATTATAATAGTAGAAGAAAATAATTATAGAAAAATTATAATTTTGCGACAATATATGTATGTAGGATAGTATAACATTGTAAGTATGTACACTTAATTATTTATAAAGCTTACGAACTTGTGTAACCGCGACTATTAAAATTTATATGCACATGTCTAAAAAAATTTAAATAATTAATGTATATCATAACGTAATATGAACGTATCGATTTAAGATATAGACACAGTAAGATATTCTTAAAAAATAATAAGAGATATCATGAAAAATATATTGAGAAAGATATATTTTTACTTGAAATTAAAATTCGCATAATTCTAATTCTCAATGAACGTTGCTTTTTTTGCAATTCTCTATTCACAAAAAAAACAACATGAATAAAGAATAGAGCAAACTAGTTAACTTTAAATTAGCATTAAAAGAGTTAGGACTTAAAGAATTAAAGGAGCAGGAAAAGAGAAGAAAATAAGCCGGGTTAAAAAATAATTTAAAATAAAATTATGGAATAGTGAATAATGCAAATTTATAAGAAATTATTGTTTTATTTTTTTTATACGTATAAATTGCATTTCAGAATATATTTTGTCCAAACAATCAAATTGATACCAAAATATTATTAGAGAATAAATCTTGCATTTTTTCTTATTTTCTATGTGTGTTCTGTTTAAATATTACATTTACATTTTTAGGGTTGTCAACGTTTTTATATTTGAGACCGTATATTTATAATTTTTATATTGATTTAAAGTATAACAATTTTTTATCAATAATGTGTATTTTGAGATGTACAAAATTTTTGAACTTCTTAAAATTATATCATTAATGCATACAAAATTAAACTAAATTTCCAATCGCAGAATGTGTACAATATGAAAATAAACGTTTTTTATGAAATTAATGCTAAAATGTGATATGTGATAATGACTATTAAGTTTGCAAAAATAAAAACTGTTTTACATTTACTGTTCCAAAATTTATAAGCAAGATACATTAAAAATATATAAATGTTAAATGTTAAAATATATTTTACATTTTGTGTATGTTATATAACTTTATAGTTAATTATTTGCTCTCTTAAAAGAACATTCAAGTCGAACTTATGTCACCTACTTTACAAAAATTCTTCACACCAATCAGTGAGACATTGATAACAATCTGTCGACTGTTTTGCGTTCGCCGAGCAAGCATCCTTCATCCATTCTTGAAACAACTCCTTATTCTTCTTTAATACTAAGTACTGGCCCAGAACTACATACGCCTGTAATACAAGATTCACTATTATCAATTCATACTCAATAAAGAAACCTCCTTTTAAAAAATCATGTAATTTCATTTTTATTCTTAATTATTATCACTTTTTTCCTTAAATTTACGTTTAAATTTATACAATTCAAAATAATTTTTTGGGGTAACAGTCCCTAAAAAAATTGTTATAAAAATTGAAACACTTCTTTTAATTATAATATAAAACATTAAAACTTTGATTAAATTTTTATTAGATTAATCAATTAGTTCAGTCAGCAGAATTATTTAATAGCAAAAACTCTAATCATATAATTTATAATTTAACAAAACACAGTTGGAATTATTCAGTAAGAGCTGTGTTCGGAGAGTGAGGAGCTATCAACATTGCTGAGTCATCATTTTATCTTTATTGTATGTCTAATTAATGATAAAAATAAAATGACACAATGCTATATAATGCTATAGCACGTTTCTAGAATGCAACCAAGATAAATAAGTTTGCTTGTATAAATCATTCTTTCAAGAATAGTTCACATATTCGTTATAAAATATAAATTGAGTAAAATTATAAATATTACATTACAAATTATTACAAATGTATATAACCACTTACCTTATCAAAACCTGCGGCTTCTAATCTTTTTCCTAGAACCTCTCCCACACCAGCGAGTTCAGTCACAGGCTTGTCTCCCATCGGCTCCGCCACGAAGTTCCTGTGCTTCTGCGATGTAGTAGACATTTTGACCTGTAAAAACGAACATTTTCATTTTTTTTCCTTCCAATAAATCGTAAAAACCTTTAGGTAGTTTAGGCTGCGTTTAACGCTCTCGAGCATTATTTACTCCTGTTTAACATTTAATAAATAATAAAAATGAAATGATTTCATGAAGAGTATTGCAAGAGTTAAGTGAAAAAACATAACCCTAGTGTTAAGCAAGAAACTACTTGAAAAATTCGAAACTATAATTGCATTGTTTTGAAGCATCATAACCTAATACTTAATGTTGTATATAGTTTATAATTTACGAAAGTATCTTACACAAAACTCGTCGGGAACAAAATGACAATACAGGTAGGCTGGAAAGAGTGGAAAGACATAAACAAAGGCGAAATTTAACAAGCCAAGCGAAAATATCAAAACAGATAAGAATAGGAGTGACTACCTGCGGTTGGTTCGTGAGATCCCTTCTCGATTACAAACTACAGCCGTCACGATGAGAAACAAGTTTTAAGAGTGCCAAAAAAATTGACCATCCAACACACCTTTACGTAAATAAAACGCAATTTAATTTGCCGGAAACTCTTCGCAAGTCAAATGTATCAAAGATCGCTTCCTCCAACGTCTCATTCATGGAACATGGAATACACACATCGAATAGAACGGCGCATTCTTTTTGGCTTGGCACGATCAGTCACGTAGATAAACGCGTCACGTGACGTCAGTTGAAAAAGCGGACTCCGATTGTTTTACTTTATTTTTATTAATGTAGAAAGTCTCCACAGTCGGAATTAAATCTATTAAAAATAAAATCTGCGCGTATTTTTGAAGGATAGAAATCGTGAACTAGACACGCTTAAAAAAACGTTTTCAGAATTTATACGATTATTGATTATCATCAAAGAAAAACATTTGGACAAAAAACGAGAAGTCAACCAATCAGGAAGCAATAATTGAAAAAAATATCAATTTCCACTCACTAATTATGAGTCTTCGCAGTCTGAAATTTTTCAAAACAATTTAAACGAAGAATAGGATAATAAATAATTAAACAAAACACATTAAACGTTATCTTAAATGAATCTCAAACTTTAATCACTACGGGCGACTTCAATCAAACTTTTAACTTAATCGGCGATTAATACGATCGGAAAAATTGTTTAAAAAATTAAATTTCTAACTATATAATTCGTTGTTCCCAATCCAATACTTTTTCATACATTAACAAAATGAATTTTTAATTAATAACTATATCTACGTTAATAAAATAATATATGTACAAGTATTTTGCTTGACTAGTTAATTGATTAAAATTATCCTAAGAATGAATTTGTCGATAATTCTTAACGCAGACAAAGTAATAAACCTTTTTTGTTGCTTAATGGAAAAAAAAGACTAAATTAGGAACAACGAATTATGTAGTTAGAGATCTTGCGACAATTTCGCCAGTTGAATCAGTCACTGATTACGTTGAAGAATCTGATTGAAGCCACCCTAAGACCACATTTTCCTCCACAATAACTGCAACGGGAGAAAGCCGTTTCTTCTCTGTAACATCGGATGAAAAACATCGAAGTCTACTTTCTTTAATTCTTCTAAATAATTCTCCACGCAAACAGTCGGTAGAAATATCACATTGAGATCCTTCCCCACAGTCTTTTTAAGCGACGTTGCCTGAAACAAAAGAATATATATAATGTGCAAGTCGAGATTAACTTTCCCTCTTCACTAAATGCGAAAACATGCAGCCTGCGACTTTTTATTAATTAACAATTAATTAATTTCCCAAGAACGGATATGCTACTATGATCGAGTTATCTCTATTCACAATTGTATAATAACTCTCAGTAGATACCACTTTCAGATGCTGCTTGGCGCAGGACGCGACTTCGAGTACGGCGTCTTTGAATCCAGCGCTCGCGCGCCCCTGAAAGATGGATTCGGAGGAGACGTCGTTTTTCATCAGGACATCCTGCGGCAGTACCATGACACGCTTCCGGGCGTTATACGGCACGGAACGTAACAGGGTGACCAGACCGTGCGCCTTGCCGAGGTGACTGACCGCGTGATCGGCGTTGACGCTCGCCGTGCCCTGCGCCTCCAGCAGCAGATAATAGATCGACGACGTGGTGTAGTCGCAATACCTCTCGAGCGATTCCAGGTCCACGAATACCGAGCCGCCCAGCTTGTTCAAGCGGGCGTCAATCAAGCGCTTGAAATAACGTTTGGACAGCTTGTGCCGCTGGAGGATCTGCAAGATAAGAGAGACTCTCTGATTCTCAGCAACAGTCAGACGCAAACGTGCGTCGCAGTGCGTTCGATGCTCGTCTACCCTGTGTAACTCCAATGCCACGGGACTCCTCGGCGGGTTGTCGTTATAAGTCTCGTTCAGAGCGTCCGTCCAGAACCGCAGTCGCATAGCACCTATCCTGCTGTCGCTCACTTGATCCTCCACCTGCGCCACTTCGACGTTAAACGCGCGTACAGCAAATGCCGCCGATTTAATACTGCTTGGTAGTAATAGCGTACATAAAAAGTTCTCATAATCGCTCTTCCTAGAAAGAAAATATGTGTAAGCGTTGCGTTTAATGGGACTTGGACTTTTTGCTGGTCTTGTGTTCCACAAGCTTTAAGCACAATTAATTTGATGTAGCGTTTACAAGAAACTTTATTTGGTATTTTACTTAGTTTATTTTATAGAAATATAGAAAGTATAAAGAATATATCTAAATATCTATTTCTCAGAAATTTTGTGGAAAAATTTATTTTATTAAATTTATTTAAATACGTAAAGTCAACGCAACATTACAATATTTGGGAGATACAAATATTATATTACATTTTAAGAAAATATTGCATCGGTTTAAACAAAGCAAAGACAAGTACCTAACCAGCTGCAAACAATACTCGGTCGGAGTTTGTTTTTGTCTAACACCAGATGTGTTCATGCGTCGCAGCTGCGATCGCACAATAATTGATAATTTATTCATTTTTTTGGCCTAAAAATTTTTACACAACTTAGATAATTAAAATTTTTTATTGAATCTATAACGACATAAACGAATTAACACACGATTAACCCGGCGGGAACGACATCGAGTGTTACAATTGTTTGTCGTGACGTAACATTTTGTTACAATTCGCTATATAAAAAAATTTCAAATAAAAACACTCGCGAGAAGAATAACCTATAAACAGAAAGGATCCGAGAGCGGCCTTTTGACTGTAACGCTAAAATGCCCTCGCGCACTATCGCCCTCTGAAGAATTGGATCCAAATTACATAGCAAAATCCACTTTTCTGCACAATTTGTGGTGCGTGTCCGTACTAAATCCCCTGTTCGAGTTTGCTTGATTTTTATTCTCGAAAAATTACATATTCAAAAGTATGTGCATTTCCGCGGAGATCACATGCAAATCAGAATAATCGTATACATATGATACATAATATTACATATGAATCTTGTATTACCTTACAAAAATATAATTCTTATTTTTAAAAAGTCGTTAAAATATGCAA